GATGCAGGCAAGAGTGTGCAAGGCGGTATTGAATGTGTCACTGTCTGTCCATGTGTCACTGTCTGTCATCTAAAAAAAAATATCTCGACCTGTGTACACCTACGTTGTAAACTTTCATTCATAGGCTAGGTTGTAGCAACCTCATGATGGGTATAGGGAAAATTTGAGTATCATGTAGTAGCCTAAACCTATCGATGTTACATTGAACTGGGTGAATGGAAAATGAATGACAGTCATCCATTATGCTGTAATAGAAATAAGGCCGTGCTCATGAGAAAAATAATTGTCCTCCCACATCATAAACGGCACTGACCGCCACTGGACGCTACCTTTTGTTCTAAACCACGTGACAGATTGCACAGCTTGGACTCAGAGACTCTGAGAAGCCAAGATGCGACTTGAGATGGAATAGCAATCTATAAATCCACTGGACCCAAGAAAACCCATCAGTTTATATTGAGTTACAATCTGAAATGTCATCATGTCAAACAGTAATGTGATACAGTCCATAGAGATAGTCCACAAAGTTGTCAACGTAACGTTGAAACTGTGATTGTAGAGTTCATGAATCGACAGGATTTCACACATCGATGCAAGTGCGTCAATATACTTTTATTTATGTGAAATACCATTCCACAGACAGACAGGTACATATGGTGTGATCAATGAACATATGTCAGAGCGAGTGGATAATATAACATTGTTTTTCAGACATAAAGTATCAAAGTACAATTAATAGAACTATAACATTCAGTAAACTATCAACATGTGAAATACAATATGTTTTGTTTAATCTGTAAAAAGAAAATAAATATTTGATTGGTCTCTATATTTTTGTATAGCTTTGCTTTGATAATAAACATGTCTCGGAGTGTTTCATGTCTCAGAGTATAAGGCAAAGTATTAGATCATGGAACAACATTCTCAACACCCTCTGTTTCAAACGGCAACATGATCTCATTAGAATATGTCAAAAGTAATGATATTTAACCATTGTAGCCAAATGTCACACAAGTGTCACCCAAGCTGACCAATTAATGTCACCCAAGCTGACATATTAGTGTCACCCAAGCTGGCATATTAGTGTCACCCAACCTGACATATTAGTGTCACCCAAGCTGACATATTAATGTCACCCAAGCTGACATATTAGTGTCACCCAAGCTGATACAATATGTACCAACAACAGATCAAGTGGGTTCATATCTCAGTTATCTATCATCCACTCCCATCTATTCTGATGATGTAAGGAAAATGTTTCTACAATACAGTAACTATTCAAGACGTATGTACAGTATGTTTTGAAATGGAACGGTGTATTATCGTTGTGCGCATCTACACCATGTTATAAAGTGCAAAATGAAAACAAAGCTATTTGTTTACAGTACGGTGAATTGACAATGTGCAATTGTATTATGTCCTCTGCGACCTTGCTGCGACCTTGCTGCTTTTAACAAAATGCTCAGCGAAATGAGATAATTGTTGTCTCTCTTGACTGTTTTTAGACAGGACAGAAATCATAATTCCATCACCTGGTTGCTGAATTGTAACACCCAAATGTTGGTACTGTCAATCGTGTGAAAAGCAAATAGTCAGATACAACAGGCTACATTACAAAATAAATGTCCTCAGCCTCCAAACAGATGTCAGTATTTTAGTGAAGGGCATTTTCTTTTGGTTCTTTGTTTTTGCATCTCTCCAGTGCATTGTATTATAATTGTCCTATTATTTTATTCACAACAAATCTAATAGAAGACATCATGACTATTTTTAGAGTTACAACAACAATACATATTGATGACCTATTCAAGTTTCCCTTTCATTTGGCAACTACATTAAACAATGTTGTGCTTTTCCATTAACTTGTTCTCTCTACTTCTATTCTGAGAGCCCTTTACTCCACACAATGGTTGTCTTTCATAGCTTTGGTCACAATGTGTATTATACAGATTCTCAGTATTCCCAGATGTCATTCAATGGCCATGCTATCACTGGCAATCATGCACAACACCCTAAAGAGCACTGGAACAGCGATGGTGGAAATATTGCCCAGAGCTGGATTAGTGCTTTATTGCAGGGCTTCACAGGCCATTTGATAATCAGTATACAAAGTCTGAGCCCCAGAATGAGACATAGGATAGAAACCTGGTGTTTCAGAAGTGTCTTTAAGATGAAAATGCTTCCTGGTTCTTTTATCTAGCGTAAATGTTATTACTTTTTAATTAAAAAAAAAAGACAAGATAGATTATATTGCTATGGTATGTTCAAAGTCGCCATAGCAAGAGTATTGCATCCCAAGGACAACAAGGAGCTACCAAGGTATGAAAGTGGATTGAAGGTTATTGCTCCTGTTTCAATGCTCCAGAGCAGAGCTTCCCTATGGATGAGGGTAAAGGACTATATTGATAATGTCTGTCTAGCTGGTGATATCACGTGTGAGTTGTATACTCGTGATGTATTGCTTAATATAGCAATGTATACATTCCATCACATTCATCATATTCCCCATGTACAGAGCAGATATCTCTGTTATAATGTTATTACGCATATATGTCACATACAGTGGGGAGAACAATTATTTGATACACTGCCGATTTTGCAGGTTTTCCTACTTACAAAGCATGTAGAGGTCTGTAATTCTATCATAGGTACACTTCAACTGTGAGAGACGGAATCTAAAACAAAAATCCAGAAAATCACATTGTATGATTTTTCAGTAATTCATTTGCATTTTATTGCATGACATAAGTATTTGATCACCTACCAACCAGTAAGAATTCCGGCTCTCACAGACCTGTTAGTTTTTCTATAAGAAGCCCTCCTGTTCTCCACTCATTACCTGTATTAACTGCACCTGTTTGAACTTGTTACCTGTATAAAAGACACCTGTCCACACACTCAATCAAACAGACTCCAACCTCTCCACAATGGCCAAGACCAGAGAGCTGTGTAAGGACATCAGGGATACAATTGAAGACCTGCACAAGGCTGGGATGGGCTACAGGACAATAGGCAAGCAGCTTGGTGAGAAGGCAACAACTGTTGGCGCAATTATTAGAAAATGGAAGAAGTTCAAGATCACGGTCAATCACCCTCGGTCTGGGGCTCCATGCAAGATCTCACCTCGTGGGGCATCAATGATCATGAGGAAGGTGAGGGATCAGCCCAGAACTACACGGCAGGACCTGGTCAATGACCTGAAGAGAGCTGGGACCACAGTCTCAAAGAAAACCATTAGTAACACACTACGCCGTCATGGATTAAAATCCTGCAGCGCACGCAAGGTCCCCCTGCTCAAGCCAGCGCATGTCCAGGCCCGTCTGAAGTTTGCCAATGACCATCTGGATGATCCAGAGGAGTAATGGGAGAAGGTCATGGGGTCTGATGTGACAAAAATTGAGCTTTTTGGTCTAAACTCCACTCGCCGTGTTTGGAGGAAGAAGTAGGATGAGTACAACCCCAAGAACACCATCCCAACCGTGAAGCATGGAGGTGGAAACATCATTCTTTGGGGATGCTTTTCTGCAAAGGGGATAGGACGACTGCACCGTATTGAGGGGAGGATGGATGGGGCCATGTATCGCGAGATCTTGGCCAACAACCTCCTTCCCTCAGTAAGAGCATTGAAGATGGGTCGTGGCTGGGTCTTCCAGCATGACAACGACCCGAAACACACAGCCAGGGCAACTAAGGAGTGGCTCCGTAAGAAGCATCTCAAGGTCCTGGAGTAGCCTAGCCAGTCTCCAGACCTGAACCCAATAGAACATATTTGGAGGGAGCTGAAAGTCCGTATTGCCCAGCGACAACCCCGAAACCTGAAGGGTCTGGAGAAGGTCTGTATGGAGGAGTAGGCCAAAATCCCTGCTGCAGTGTGTGCAAACCTGGTCAAGACCTACAGGAAATGTATGATCTCTGTAATTGCAAACAAAGGTTTCTGTACCAAATATTAAGTTCTGCTTTTCTGATGTATCAAATACTTATGTCATGCAATAAAAAGGCAAATTAATTACTTAAAAATCATACAATTTGATTTTCTGGATTTTTGTTTTAGATTCCGTCTCTCACAGTTGAAGTGTACCTGTGATAAAAACTACAGACCTCTACATGCTTTGTAAGTTGGAAAACCTGCAAACTCGGCAGTGTATCAAATACTTGTTCTCCCCACTGTATCAAGCAAATACTGTATGATTTCTCAGTGATATGCTAAAACAAATCCCATCACGTCTGAGTTGTTGGTTTTTCAATGGCAGTGAGATATGTTATGATCCATATGGCAGTGAGATATGTTATGATCCTTATGGCAGTGATATGCATTATTATATTTTTTAGCAGTGAGATACGTTATGATCGTTATGGCTGTGAGATATGTTGTGATTGTAATGGGGTGCTCAGTGAAACTAATAGTCCACAGTATGTCAATAAGAATAGTTGTCCAAAAACTACTTTTACAATATGATCATGTAGTCTACTAAACAGCCCTTTTGATCATGCAGAACTGTGAAATATACATTTATTATGAAATATTCACTTGTTTGTTGTTGTTTGATACACAGTACAGATGTAAAAACCCATTGTTCATTCCCTCCACTGACCCCTTGACCCCAACCTCATTAACAAAGTTGGTCACAGTTGGTTCACCATAAACAAATTATGACACACCTCTGTTTGGTACACAGTCATATGGATATACACTGATAATAACGTCTACAAATGTTTCAAGAGACGACTTGTTAAATCCATGCACTTCATGCACAGATGATGGTCATCCTCCAGGCCACCGTAGTTTAGGGTCTCAATGGGTTCCATTCAGCTAGGAGATAAAGGAGCATGTTGGGAAATATGCCCATGAAGTCATTTGGATGAGAGCCATGCCTTTATGTCAGCTCATTTTGATGGTGGTTTAATGGTCTGTTGTTATTGAGCTGTTTTTTCTGAGTCATTTGTCCAGGTGTCTTACAGCAGTCTCTTTCAGAGGGTCAGGAGGCCATGGCTGTTCCCGCCTACTTCATGCCGCTCCGAAGCACCTGATTGGCTGCGATAAGCATGACGCTGATGATGAAAGCGATGGCAAAAGCACATATCAGGCTCTTGCGTACACACGTCTGCTTCACTTGCTGCGTTGGACTAGCTGCATGACAGGGAAAGGAGACAAGAGAAGGAGGAAAGTCAGGGATTTTCAAGGAGGAGAGACATGCACCTGTGAGTCTGTTGAATCAAATCTCTTTTGATGCTCTGCACATATCTGATACCAGAGGCAAGTTATATAGTAATTTCTAATGAGATGAGAAATCTAATCTCCAAATGTACAAGTATGTGAACACAATTATTATGGATGAATACTGCTTGGAAATGTGGTTTTACCCCAGTGTGTGCGATACATAATTACATAGATTACAGCTCTGATTTCATTTTCCCCCCACAAAAGAGCTTTATTACAAACAGAAGTACTCCTCAGTTTCATTAGCTGTCCGGATGATTGGTCTCAGACAATCCCTCTGGTGAAGAAGCCGGATATGGAGGTCCTGGGCTGGTGTGGTTACACGTGGTCTGTGGTTGTGAGGCCGGTTGGATGTACTGCCAAATTCTCTAAAACTAAGTTTTAGAGAATTGCAGGAATGTCCACCAGAGCTGTTGCCAGAGAATTGAATGTCCATTTCTCTACTATAAGCCGCTTTGCATGCTCCCTCAAAACTTGAGACATCTGTGGCATTGTGTTTTGTGACAAAACTGCACATTTTAGAGTGGCCTTTAATTGTCCCCAGCACAAGGTGCACCTGTGTAATGATCATGCGGTTTAATCAGCTTCTTGATATGCCACACCTGTCAGGTGGATGGATTGTCTTGGCAAAGGAGAAATACTCACTAACAGGGATGTAAACAAATTTGTGCACAACATTTTAGAGAAAGTTGTACAAAAAGTGTGTACTATAATGTGCGTACTACAAAGTGTGTACTACAAAGTGTGTACTATAAGTTTCCTTACTGTCTATATCCACCTGGCAGGCCCCTGGGTTCGCTATGTGGCTCTCCTCGGTCATGATGATGTTCTCGATATCCTTCATGGTGAGGTGGTCGGAGAACGTGTCGTACAGCAGCCTCTTCAGCTCCTCTACCGTCAGCTTCTGCATGTCAGTCTGGACACACACACACACACAGGAACTGATGTCACTACAATGAGATACTCTTCTATGGTCGATTTTAGTTTTTTCACCGCAATGTTTTGTATTTGGGGATGGTAAGCTAAGTGATCCTGGAACTTTTAGCCAGAGATAACAACACAAGACTTCCCATTGATGCATGTGGCATACTGTATGGCTGTCTTGACTCAGGGATTCAATTCAATCGAACATACAGTACACTGCCATAGACATCCCATACAAAAAAAAAACACTTGAAAAGAACGTGAAAAAACACATGGTTTTTGGACACGTGAACAAAATACACTATAAATACAAAGGTATGTGGAAACCCCTTCAAATTAATGGATTCGGCTTTTTCAGCCACACCCGTTGATGACAGGTGTATAAAATCGAGCACACAGCCATGCAATCTCCATAGACAAACATTGGCATTTGAATGGCCTTACTGAAGAGCTCAGTGACTTTCAACGTGGCACGGTCATAGGATGCCACCTTTCTAACAAGTCAGTTTGTCAAATTTCTGCTAGAGCTGCCCCTGTCAACTGTAAGTGCTGTTATTGTGAAGTGGAAACATTTAGGAGCAACAACGGCTCAGCCGCGAAGTGGTAGGCCACACAAGCTCACAGAACGGGATCGCCAGGTGCTGAAGTGCGTAGCGTGTACAAATTGTCTGTCCTCGGTTGCAACACTCACTAACGAGTTCCAAACTGCCTCTGGAAGCAACGTCAGCACAAGAACGGTTCGTCGGGAGCTTCATGAAATGGGTTTCCATGGCCTAAGATCACCATGTTCAATGCAAAGAGTCGGCTGGAGTGGTGTAAAGCTCGCCGCTAATGGACTCTGGAGCAGTGGAAACGCGTTCTCTGGAGTGATGAATTTCGCTTCACCATCTGGCAGTCCGACGGACGAATCTGGGTTTGGTGGATGCCAGGAGAACGCTACCTGCCCGAATGCATCGTGCCAACTGTAAAGATTGGTGGGGGTTGAATAATGGTCTGGGGCTGTTTTTCATGGTTCGGGCTAGGCCCCTTAGTTCCAGTGAAGCGAAATCTTAATGATACAGCATACTGTACAATGACATTCTAGACGATTCTGTGCTTCCAACTTTGTGGCAACAGTTTGGGGAAGGCCCTTTCCTGTTTCAGCATGACAATGCCCCCGTGCACAAAGCGAGATCCATACAGAAATGGTTTGTCGAGATCGGTGATGAATAACTTGACTGACCTGCACAGAGCCCTGACCTCAACCCCATCGAACACCTTTGGGATGAATTGGAACGCAGACTGCGAGCCAGGCCTAATCGCCCAACATCAGTGCCTGACCTCGTTAATGCTATTGTGGCTGAATGGAAGCAAGTCCTCGCAGCAATGTTCCAACATCTAGTGGAAAGCCTTCCCAGAAAAGTGGGGCTGTCATAGCAGCAAAGGGGGGACCAACTCCATATTAATGGCTATGATTTTGGAATGAGATGTTCGATAAGCAGGTGTCTACATATTTTGGGTCATGTAGTGTATATACCTTTTTTTTCACGTGACATTTTCAAGAATCAGACACGTGGTTTTCGGACACCTGTGATGTTTCACATGAATCTTTCACATGTGAACAAATCACATAAAAAATGTCACGTGGGAAGATTCACATGGATTTCTCACATTACTCAGACACGTGTGGTCTCCCAACATTTCACATCATGAGTTTCATATGTGTGCTTTTGTAGCCGGTGGGATTAGAACCCATGGGAGAAGCCAACGTCTTGACCATTAGACCAAGACGGCCAACACTAATTTTGAAGTCGCAGGCGAGACTACCTCATCACGTGACCATGAGCAACCATGACCGACTCATGCCCGCTACACTTGCACATGTATATCTTCGTAACTAGGACTATCAAATGTAATTGAACTTACAGCAGGATTTGCTGTGATTAATTACGATTAATCGCAAATTAAGAATTTGCTCAACTTGAGCTGTAATTTAAGATTATTTATGCAAAAAGCATTACAAAAATATTTACGTCTTGATTTTTGTCCAAAGTAATGGTTAGCAAAATCTGGTTAATTGATAAACACACTTTCTTTAACCTCAATGTCAACTTGTTTTGACATTGCATTGTGTTTTTAGCTGTATAGATTATGTATGTTGGATGTTTTCAGTGTATTTTGAACGTGATAAAAAAATGTGTGCACTAAAATTACAAAAGTAAAGTTGAGTTAACTGATTAAATCAGTTAATTTTAACATGTTAAACAGGATAAATAAGGAGCCACCAAGTGTTCTAGCATGTGAAACTGCAAATGGGATTTTTACATGTGGTTGTTTTTACATGTGAAAATTCAATTCCACATGTGAATGTCCAATTTTCACATAAGAACGTTTTTCAGGTGAAACTGCATAACCGATTTTAATATGTGAAAGCGCAAATTTCACATTTGCAACTGCAATTCACAATTGAGGTGAAAAAATGTTTTTCTTATCACATGTGAAAAGGTGGTGTTAACATGTGAATAAAATATGTAATAAACGTGAAAATATGGTGTGATGTGAAGTTTTTGCTCAGCATGTGAACACAGCTACACTCTAAAAAATGAGGGGTTCAACTGGAGTTCTTCTAAGATCCTCAAAGATCCTCGAAGAACCTTATGGTTCTTGGCAATGAAAAACAGCCCCCAAAGGTTCTTCAGGATAACTTCTTAGGAGGTGGGGTTCATCGAGGAACCCACATTGTTGCTGGAGTTTGAATGCGACAACAGTTAAAAAGGTAAGTTGGGTTGATGTTTGGCTCTGAATACGTATCTAAATAATTTATATAATGATATAAAATACTAATGAATAACGGTAAGGATATGTTGTTGGACAGCTGCATTTCAAGTTTACATTTAACCTACATAGCAGTCAATACAAACTGAAATCTATTAGCATACTAATGGAATTCAAATGGCACACCAGTGTCTTTGGTGAGTTGGTTTTGGTCATTTCATTGGTATTCCTGGTGGGGACAGGGTATGTAGTGCCTTTGCATAGCCCAACTGGACTCCGGCATGAAATCTGATTCTGTTGTTTCTTTTCAGAAATTCTGAAGTATATGGATGGTCAGTGGAGGATGTCTGCCAGTGGCTTCAGCAAAATCAGTTGGAGGACTACACCTCTCCTTTTCAATTTGTTATTGTCAATTGCCTGCAAGGTCCAACCAAAACTTGACTTCCGCTTTTAACACAACTACCTGGTAGCTCTTGTTGTGGAGATCTTATAACTCCCTTGCTCAAGGACAGAACAACAGATTTTTTCACCTTGTCGGCTGGACGATTCGAATGCTTTAACTGCTAGTCCACCTGCCAGTCAACACCAGTCAAAATGCCTGCTTTGTATAACTGCCCAATATGCAACAAGCATTATTGCTCATGAAACAGATTAGCCACATTGGTCTGTATCACCAGAGTGAGCCAGGGTTTCTGTTAACATGTAGACTTGGAGGTTGCATGAAAACATGTAAATGCTTTGCGTCATATAGGACACATATATACAGAAAACACAAAGATTTGCTGACAGATAGGCCTAATGGTTCTGTAATCCCTGTGCCTGACTACATTGAGGAAAATGTGAACGATGATGTCTGATCTCGCGTGGAACTAATGTTATTGAGTCCTTGGACTTCAAAACTGAAGACCTGGTTAGAGGCCTTAAGACAAACCTCTGCCTTTTTATGTTGAAGATCAGAGAGAAGCATTGTGTTGCTGTGACTGTGCAGAGCAGTATAGTGGAGGATCTTCATTCTATTTTTGATTCATTTATGTCCCATTACAGTGATGCCTTGAAATTCCATCTTAGAAACAAATCTGTGGAGGGAGCTGAATCAATTTATACAGTGAGGGAAAACAATATTTGATCCCCTGCTGATTTTGTACGTTTGCCCACTGACAAAGACATGATCAGTCTATAATTTTAATGGTAGGTTTATTTAAACAGTGAGAGACAGAATTACAACAAACAAATCCAGAAAAACACATGTCAAAAATGTAATAAATTGATTTGCATTTTAATGAGGGAAATAAGTATTTGACCCCTCTGCAAAACATGACTTAGTACTTGGTGGCAAAACCCTTGTTGGCAGTCACAGAGGTCAGACGTTTCTTGTAGTTGGCCACCAGGTTTGCACACATCTCAGGAGGGATTATATCCCACTTCTCTTTGCAGATCTTCTCCAAGTCATTAAGGTTTGGAGGCTGACATTTGGCAACTCGAACCTTCAGCTCCCTCCACAGATTTTCTATGGGATTAAGGTCTGGAGACTGGCTAGGCCACTCCAGGACCTTAATGTGCTTCTTCTTGAGCCACTCCTTTGTTGCCTTGGCCGTGTGTTTTGGGTCATTGTCATGCTGGAATACCCACCCACGACCCATTTTCAATGCCCTGGCTGAGGGAAGGAGGTTCTCACCCAAGATTTGACGGTACATGGCCCCGTCCATCGTCCCTTTGATGCTGTGAAGTTGTCCTGTCCCCTTAGCAGAAAAACACCCCCAAAGCATAATGTTTCCACCTCCATGTTTGACGGTGGGGATGGTGTTCTTGGGGTCATAGGCAGCATTCCTCCTCCTCCAAACACGGCGAGTTGAGTTGATGCCAAAGAGCTCGATTTTGGTCTCATCTGACCACAACACTTTCACCCAGTTCTCCTCTGAATCATTCAGATGTTCATTGGCAAACTTCAGACGGCCCTGTATAAGTGCTTTCTTGAGCAGGGGGACCTTGCGGGCGCTGCAGGATGTCAGTCCTTCACGGCGTAGTGTGTTACCAATTGTTTTCTTGGTGACTATGGTCCAAGCTGCCTTGAGATAATTGACAAGATCCTCCCGTGTAGTTCTGGGCTAATTCCTCACCGTTCTCATGATCATTGCAACTCCACGAGGTGAGATCTTGCATGGAGCCCCAGGCCGAGGGAGATTGACAGTTCTTGTGTTTCTTCCATTTGTGAATAATCGCACCAACTGTTGTCACCTTCTCACCAAGCTGCTTGGCGATGGTCTTGTAGCCCATTCCAGCCTTGTGTAGGTCTATAATCTTGTACCTGACATCCTTGTAGAGCTCTTTGGTCTTGGCCATGGTGGAGAGTTTGGAATCTGATTGATTGATTGCTTCTGTGAACAGGTGTCTTTTATACAGGTAACAAGCTGAGCTCCCTTTCAGAGTGTGCTCCTAATCTCAGCTCGTTACCTGTATAAAAGACACCTGGGAGCCAGAAATCTTTCTGATTGAGAGGGGGTCAAATACTTATTTCCCTCATTAAAATGCAAATCAATTTATAACATTTATGACATACGTTTTTCTGGATTGTTTTGTTGTTATTCTGTCTCTCACTGTTCAAATCAACCTAACATTAAAATTATAGACTGATAATTTCTTTGTCAGTGTGCAAACGTACAAAATCAGCAGGGGATCAAATACTTTTTTCCCCCACTGTAGATGAGAACAATGACTTGTGTGAGCTTTTAAACCAGACAAAGGTTTTTGAAGAGTGCATGAGAAGCATCAACACAGAGTGGATGCTGGAGCAATACTGCTGTGAAGAAATGGGAATGGTTGGACTGAGAGAGATACATCTGAGTGGTGAAGAACAGGACAGAGCCAGTTTTCAGTACATCCCACTACCTGACCTTTTGAAGAAGGTGGCAAAAAATGAAGATGTTTGGGCGAGCTTAAATAGAGAAGAAGAACCTGCCAACGATGAAATCTTGAGTGATTTCACAGATGTTTTTTTTTTCAAGAGCAATCCCTTGCTCACACAAAAGCAAACGATGCGGCTTCATTTTTATATAGATGAATTTGAGGTTGTCAATCCACTTGGATCAAAAAAAGGAAAACGCAAGCTTTCAGCTGTGTATTTCAAAATTGGCAATCTTGACAAGAAACACACATCTCAGCTGCAAAACATTTACCTCTCCACCCTGATACAACACAAGCTAATTCAGAAAGGAGTAACAAGTTATGATGAAGTCTTCCAGCCTCTGCTTGGTGATATCAGACTGCTGGAGACACAAGGTGTTTCTTTGGAGTGCAATGGAGAAAGCAAGGTCTTTCATGCCACCATTGCCACAATCTCCGCCATGATGTTGCTAGTTTGCCAAGAAACTTCAGTTCAGGAAGGATCTGTCGCTTTTGCACAGCAACCAAGGACGATATCTGTTCGAAGTTTACAGAGGGGGAGTTCACCATACGTGACTTAACATATTACAGCTACCACCTACTGGCAGTCCAAGAAAACCAAGAAAATGCAAGAGTCTATGGTGTCAGAAGTCCATGCTGCATCTCTGACATGACATATGCACCTTCACCCATGATGTACAGTGAGTGAAAAAAGTATTTGATCCCCAGCTGATTTTGTACATTTGCCCACTGACAAAGAAATTAGCAGTCTATAATTTTAATGGTAGGTTTATTTGAACAGTGAGAGACAGAATAACAACAGCAAAATCCAGAAAAAATGCTTGTCAAAGATGTTATAAATTGATTTGCATTTTAATGAGGGAAATAAGTATTTGACCCCCTCTCAATCAGAAAGATTTCTGGCTCCCAGGTGTCTTTTATACAGGTAATGAGCTGAGATTAGGAGCACACTCTTAAAGGGAGTGCTCCTAATCTCAGCTTGTTACCTGTATAAAAGACACCTGTCCACAGAAGCAATCAATCAATCAGATTCCAAAGAGCTCTCCAAGGATGTCAGGGACAAGATTGTAGACCTACACAAGGCTGGGATGGGCTACAAGACCATCACCAAGCAGCTTGGTGAGAAGGTGACAACAGTTGGTGCGATTATTCGCAAATGGAAGAAACACAAAATAACTGTCAATCTCCCTCTGCCTGGGGCTCCATGCAAGATCTCACCTCATGGAGTTGCAATGATCATGAGAACTGTGAGGAATCATCCCAGAACTACACGGGATGATCTTGTCAATGATCTCAAGGCAGCAGGGACCATAGTCACCAAGAAAACAATTGGTAACACACTACGCCGTGAAGAACTGAAATCCTGCAGCGCCCGCAAGGTCCCCCTGCTCAAGAAAGCATATATACAGGCCCGTCTGAAGTTTGCCAATGAACATCTGAATGATTCAGAGGAGAACTGGGTGAAAGTGTTGTGGTCAGATGAGACCAAAATGGAGCTCTTTGGCATCAACTCAACTCACCATGTTTGGAGGAGGAGGAATGCTGCCTATGACCCCAAGAACACCATCCCCACCGTCAAACATGGAGGTGGAAACATTATGCTTTGGGGGTGTTTTTCTGCTAAGGGGACAGGACAACTTCACAAATGGGACCATGGACGGGGCCATGTACCGTCAAATCTTGGGTGAGAACCTCCTTTCCTCAGCCAGGGCATTGAAAATGGGTCGTGGGTGGGTATTCCAGCATGACAATGACCCAAAACACACAGCCAAGCAACAAAGGAGTGGCTCAAGAAGAAGCACATTAAGGTCCTGGAGTGGCCTAGCCAGTCTCCAGACCTTAATCCCATAGAAAATCTGTGGAGGGAGCTGAAGGTTCGAGTTGCCAAACGTCAGCCTCAAAACATTAATGACTTGGAGAAGATCTGCAAAGAGGAGTGGGACAAAATCCCTCCTGAGATGTGTGCAAACCTGGTGGCCAACTACAAGAAACGTCTGACCTCTGTGATTGCCAACAAGGGTTTTGCCACCAAGTACTAAGTCATGTTTTGCAGAGGGGTCAAATACTTATTTCCCTCATTAAAATGCAAATCAATTTATAACATTTTTGACATGCGTTTTTCTGGATTTGTTTGTTGTTATTCTGTCTCTCACTGTTCAAATAAACCTACCATTAAAATTATAGACTGATAATTTCTTTGTCAGTGGGCAAACGTACAAAATCAGCAGGGGATCAAATACTTTTTTCCCTCACTGTATTTATTTCCCCCTGACGTGATGCATGACTTCCTTGAGGGCATCATACCTGCTGTACTGAGGTTGATGTTACAGGAGCTTGTGAAGACAAAACAAATCACTGTGGCCCAGCTAAATTACGAGATAACTTCCCCTATGACAACTACGACAGAGCATCCAGACGACCACCACCACTATCTGAGCATGTCCTGAGGAAGAATGGGCAGCTGGCTGGGAGTGCATCTGAGAAATTCACCATCTTTTGATCGCTTCCCCAAATGATTGGATCCCAAATAGTTAGCTGTGATGCATGGGAAGTGTTACAGGAGGGGGTGCAGTTCCGGAGCGATCCACCAGGTGTCCTCCTCCGACAACCTTTGGCACCTCCTCACTCACAGTCTGGACTAATCATGATGCTATTGGTGTCACCTGTGTCTACCTGTTCACCTGTGTATTTATGCCCTCACTTCCCTGTGTTCCCTCGCTCAGTTTTCTCTGCTAGTTTCACTATGCCAAGCAGTACTAATCAGCGTCTGATCGTGGGACATATGGACAGGTCCCTGTTTAGTTATTATTTCAGTCACAGTTAGTATTTCTTATTTTGGCTGGCAGCCTGCTTTTTGAAGTCTTATTTGCTCCACCTTTCTTTTTCTTGTAAAGTCTGTTATTTTGTATCCTGGTTTCGGGACCATCAGTAAAGATCCTTGTTTCACCATCTCTGCCTACTGCCTACTGTCTATCCTGCACCGCACCTGGGTCACCCCTCACACCAACCCTTACAGAAAACTGAGCAAGGGAACACAGGGAAGTGAGGGCATAAATACACAGGTGAACAGGTAGACCCCAATAAGATAATGATTAGTCCAGACTGCGAGTGAGGAGGTGCCTAAGGTTGTCGGAGGATGACACCTAGTGGGTCGCTCCGGAACTGCGACACCCCCTCCTGTAACAGGGAAGTGTACCTGTTACTGAGAGACATTGGGACATAATCATGATGCCTACCATCAAAAGGTCTTGGGTACCATACCTGGAAGAGAACATTATGGAATTGCATGCTCTTTTTCAAGAAGTCTTCCCAAACAAGCAAACACCCAAGATGCACTTTCTGATCCATTACCCCCGACAGCTGATGGCATATGGAGCACTTATCCATCTATTGTGTATGCGCTTTGAAGCCAAACATCCGTACTTCAAGAGAATTTACATCATCTGCAACTACAAAAACATTGCAAAGACACTGGCCAAAAGACACCAGATGAGACAATGCTGGGAGCAGTCAAAGAACACATGCTTAGGAAGCACAGTACCACTCTGCGCAGACAAGAGAGACATCCCAATTCATGCCCTCTCAGTCTCTGTCACTTGTGCTCTGCAGGCTAGATTTGGAGAGGATCTGAATCCAGACCATGTCAACAAAATGTGCATCACTGTAGACAGCGTGTCATACAAGATTGGCGATTGTCTGGTGATTGGGATGGTGCACACTGAGGAGATTCCAGTGTTCTTCAAAGTAAACCACATATACAGCATATTGGGCAGCTGGTATTTGTGTGGAAAGCTCATGACTCCCTCTTGTTTCAACAGCCATGCACATGCCCATGTGGTTGAGGACAGTCTCCAGTGGGCAGCCGTGGTGCCTGGGGAGGAACTGGCATGCCATGGTCTGGACAGCTGCCTTGATCCCAAGGAGAGACTCACAATCCCTCTCCGACATTGGATTTGCAGGTGATTTTGTCTTGACTAAAATTGAGATGGAGTCTTGCGTCTTGTGTTTCAGCATTTAAACAGCGTTTGATATCTTGGTTTTAAGAGGATGGGTCTTGGTCTGTAGACTTGGCTCCAGTCTTGACTCCAATGCAATATATAATCCTGTAACACAACTACTGCTATTAATCTCATATCTAATAAAACTTTTTCAACAGACCACCTCATCAATGGTGAGACACTCATGGGCTTGAACAACAGGATGATCGAACAGCTGTTTCCTGTCATGAATACATTTTAGTCATTTAGCAGACGCTCTTATCCAGAGCGACTTACAGTTAATGAATTTTTATTTTTTTCCCGTACTGGTCCCCCATGGGAATCGAACCCACAACCCTGGAGTTGCAAGTGCATTGCTCTACCAACTGAGCAACACAGGACTAAATTAATTGGAAATTTAAAGAAGTATGTAACTGTGAGGTATTCAGCAACTATTTTTCGATATAATAATCTCTATATAATTGTTCCTTGTACAACAAAGCTATTGAACTTGTAATACCATAACAAGAATTCATACTTTGTTTCTTGCTGTATAGATTCTACACCCTGTTTTGTATTTGTGACGACAGAACTAAACATGTAAACGTATATGCTTCTATGTCTCCCGAGTGGCGCAGTGGTCTAAGGCACTGCATCGCAGTGCCACTAGAGATCCTGGTTTGAATCCAGGCTCTGTCGTAGCCGGCCGCGACCGGGAGACCTATGGGGCGGTGCACAGTTGGCCCAGCGTCGTCCGGGGTAGTGAAGTTGGTAGAGCATGGCGTTTGCAACGCCAGGGTTGTGGGTTCGTTTCCCACGGGGGGCCAGTATAAAAGATTATGTATGCACTCACTAACAAGTCGCTCTGGATAAGAGCGTCTGCTAAATGACTAAAATGTAAATGTCTCAGCTCTCGCCAACCAACAACCACGATCCACCAACCAACACAAAACTGTGGCCCACAATATTCACCCTTCCTGAGTTCCCCGCAGTATAATCTCAACCAACAGAGTGAAGATGCCCACTCATTGGTCCAAGTGGAGGAGCCAAATCATCCAAGTTTTATTTGATAGTTTCTAAATTGGCACGTCATGTAAGTTTGTTTGTGTGTGTAGTCATGTGATGTGTTATGCTGTAATGGAACACTACATTGATTTACTATTTTCAAAGGTACCCTACAAGCAGACAATATACCGACGTCTGTACATCACTGGTGGCCAACTACCCATTTCTAAGGGACCGTATAGGACAAGGATATTTTTACTTTATTTTTTTACACATTTCACAATAACGTGTGTTCATTACTAATAACTACATCTCCATTCTCCTTTACTAAGGAATCATGGCATGGGATGATTAAAAAAAAATATTTAAAAAAGAAAGACAACCTCTTGTCTGCAAAACAGAGGTTGCAATCATCAGAGCTAAGTTCACACAGAAAAGGAGTTCTGATGGGAATGCAGGCCCAGCATTAAAGACAGCTAAGTTTTGTGGCTAACCTTACCCCTACCCCTAAACCTAAACTTAGTTCCAGCAAGTGTTTGCTTGTCAACAAAGTTGCAGTTAATAGTTTGTGAGTATAATTTGAGTATATATGGACCATACAATATATGTGACTATCCAATGAAGTGGGAACATTCAGAGCTTTACCTGTGCATATGTGTGTTTCTGTCATAGGTGACTATAATGTGCATGATGTGGAGCTACTTGGGGGCGTGTCTGCTACACCACTTTTGAACCAAGTAAATAACAGTCGTATAATTGTCAACATATGCTCATTGGATCATGAATTTGAAACAAACTCTCACTTTTCTTATTCTGACGAAATTGACTGTTATTGTACTAAACTTTACTAGGCATTGATGCGGAGTGCGGAGGACACTTTCAGTGTGACAAAGCAAATCGAAAGAATGAAGGAGGAATGCAAAAGAAACCATCCTGACCTTAGCCTCCTGCAGGACAAAATGAAGAGGAACCCGGTGGAGAGAGACCATTTTATCGGCACCCACCACACCAAAGAGATCCTTAATGAGTTTCCTGCACTGCGTCACTGCAGCATTGTGAGTTAGGTCACACATTTTCCATTTTTTAAGTCTGTGAATTAAGTTAAACCTACAGAAATACAATGTGTGCTAATAATATTTTCAGATCTTCTCAGAAATGTATCAAGTCCATGGAATGGATATAGACAAAAAGATAATTCAAGGACTCCGCAAGGCTAGTGGCAAAATGCTAGCAGAGGTAGAGAGGCGAGGGGTGAGGACATCATCCTGCTGTTTCGACAGTCCCTGAAGGACAATACAGAAGAGGCACACAGGGGTATTTGATCTTATTCTTTCCTTTCTCTAATGTAGTCAACACATAGTACATTAAAAATATGTATTTTGAAATAAAATTAGCAAGTGTAGTAAGATCATTGCTTTACTTTCCTTGGACTGGAGACCACAGCAGCGATCCTGCTCTTGCCCGACCTCTTCACCCGAGTGGCCTTTATGTCCGTGACAAGGTATGCCTATGCACAAATCATCTGTTTCTTCATAAACATAAGTGTGCATTCTTATATAAAAATTCAACTGAACATTTATTATGTTAATTGTATGTGTATTAATCTTTTCTTCCTTTTGTTGACACAGATGTCACCGCTCCCCACTCCTTTACTGCACATCGGCAGAAATCCATTTCACCATGAGAGTGAAATCACGCTGGCCTCTGATGGGGAGAACATCCACGCCCTAGAGGACGTCCCCATGGGACTTGGGGCTCTGCCAGAGCTGTATTTTTTTTTTTTTCGGGTGAAATTTCCCAAAAATGTCAGAAAAACATATGTTCTTAAGTTACTGTGTTCTGGGGATAAGAGAAGTTGGGGTGAAGTTACCAGGGCCGGTCATAAGGATGGCAAACTTCCTAACATAACTAAGTGGTTGTTGGGCAAGTGGCTGTTGGACACACACACTAAAGCAGCAAAATGCAATCTGTATTTAGCATCAAATCTACAATATTGTTAGTTTACCTATGATTCATTTTTAATGTATGTTTTTATTGTACATCATTCTTTTTTATTTATTTTTATGTAAATGAAAAGCACTATACAAAGTAAATGTATTATTTATTATGGTCTGACATGTCTGCAGAAATGTTGCGATTTTGTAATTTGTTTTATTTGGTAAATTATTTTGTAAATATTCATTCACATTTGTGGTGCCACTAAATAAACAACTATTTAAATCAATGTTGTCAATGTTGTTATTATTATTAAAATGTGTTTTTAACAGGGAGTTAAGAAAATTAACCCCAAAAGGTTATTAGAGGAACCATTAAAGGGGTTCTTCGAATAACCTTTTTCAAGGGTTCTTAGAAAAACTTATAGGGGTTCCCCCACAGTTTCAATTTGAAGAACCCCTAAAGGATACTCGAGGAAGCTTAACTTTTTAAAGTGTAAATTTGATATGTGTTTAAAAAAACAATTAGACCTGAGTTTTGTTCTAGATTTTATACAAAGACACTGCATAGATATTGCTAACACAAGTCTGACTGAATCACTCTCTAAATTCTTGTTAACTCCTTTTACTGTCAATATGGGAGGGTAATTCTCTGAGAAACTGTCACATAGTAAACACCTGATTTAATTTAAATGGATTTTACTTAATTCGATCATAAGACTAGTGTATAAAAGGGGTGTGGATGGTTGTTGAAAGTCAGGAAGGAAGGACGCAGTTCTGACAAGAAGAATACTAAGTAACTTATATACTAAGTAAATACTAAGGCTGCATTCCAAACACTTAAAAGACACCCTCTCCCCTCAGCCCTCAAATTAAGTGGACACTTCTGATGACGTATCATGACGTCTGACAAGTTGACACTTGCAGGGCAAGGGGCGAGGGAATAAATAATGCATTTTAAATGGGCCGCTCTTGCCCGTATATTTGTCACTCGTCCATCCCACGGTTGTGTTTTCAGTCATCATGCGCTACAGTCAATTATGATTGCATTTCATATCTTGGCTAGAAGACAACGCATCCGCAGACATCGAATGTTAGCCATCAGACTATATCCGATAAATCGAAAATGACAATGTATAAGTGTGATGTCAGGGAAAGTTGTATGCGCAAGCTAACGTTTCCAAAAGCTAACCAAACAACAACAACATTACTTTTATGATATGTGTTTGAGCTGTCATGTGCATTAGTACCACAATTTCTAACTTACTTACATCACGAATTGAATTATGGGGCGTTTCAGGCCCCGGAGTGAACATAATTGTACACTCGCAAACTCGATCAAAAACGAGGGCTGAGGGGCTTACGTTGCCAACTTCTCTTGCTTGGCTGATCATTTGGACCGACGACAAAGATGGCCGCAGGGATTCCCCCAAGGGCATAAGGTGAAGGTAAGTGGAGGAGGGTGTGTCTTTTATGTGTTTGAAACACAGTCTAAGACTTCCAACGCCTCACGAGGTGGCACTGCCCTATTAACCCGCCACTGAATATTTATAGATAGATAAGTGGTGCGATAGATGACAGCTACAGTACAGCATCCTGATCACCCAGAAGCCTTTGCAGCTTGTCAGTGGTAATAAGCAAGAAGGAAGCAGCTAATGATTACTTACCTTCCAGAACACAGAGTCAAAGTCGGTTCCGTGGAACTTGTCTGGCATTCCGGCTGCTGTCAACTTGGGTCCAAGGAGAGTGACAAACTCTTCGAAATCCACCTGACCATCACCTGTTGATGACAGGAATTTGATGACACCTGTTAGTGTGTGTGTGTGTGTGTGTGTGTGTGGGTGTGAACGCCCGTGTGTGTCGTGAATGTGTGTATGCGTGCCTGTGTGCATGCCTGTGTGCGTGCCTGTGTGTGTGTCCGTGTACGTGGGTACGTCAGTGTATGCGTGTGTGTGTGTGTGTGTGTGTGTGTGTGTGTGTGTGTGTGTGTATCTCACCGTCCATGTCCAGTCTCTGTATGATGACCTCCAGCTCCACCTCGTTGGGCATGTACCCCAGGGACCTCATGGCCATGCCCAGCTCTTGCTTAGAGATGAAGCCATTCCCATCACGGTCAAATACCTTGAACGCCTCGCGGATCTCTGTGAGGAAGACAACACAGAGAAGTGTTATAGAACCAGCCTACCTGTGTCGTGCGCCTAACCGCTAACTAACTTCTATTTCCTAAATAAGGTTTTCAATAGGCTACACAAGCGACTGGTCAATCTCTACCAACGAACGTAGCGGATGCTCTGGAGACAATGAAAAACAGAACAGTTAAATGAATTATCGTTTTTTTCTCGAACAGCAATCACAGGTCTCCAAGGGGAAAAGTGATGTGAGGTGAACAAATGGCGCATTCACTTTCACAGTGTATAGATTGGATCTTAAGACAGCCATTGTGGCCATTTTGACAGACCAAAATGCATCTGTTAAAAAAACGAACTAGGTTACTTTATGTAAAAGGTCACTTCAGGACAAAAATGTATGACAGAAACCCAAGAAGAAGAAATGTTTTAAACTAATCAAAAGCATAGCAGAGATCTGTGTAATGACGAGAAATGCATATCTCCGCCCTAACAATGGGAGTCGTTGTACCAAAGGCAGGAAGGCAGGTGACAAGCTTCGGTCTACATATTAAGCCCATAGAAACTAATTGGGCTTCTTCTGGGCAGATTTTGGCGAGAGTGAGCCCTCTCATTTTGCTTCTTCCTATCTGAGCATGCTGACCAGGTCCATCCTTAAAATACTTCTCACACAGCTCAAAAGCCCCTTTCCTTACGAGTGACCGAATCCCATCATTCATATGACTATCGCCCAGTCAAATAACTGATTGTAAAAGATGTAACATACAGGAGACCGGTTCAGGTGATGAGGAACAATCTTCCCTACATACACTTGATGATGGGTAGATCTGGGATGAATCTGCTCCGGTATTTACTCTGATTGCTTTTGCAGTAGCCAAGAATCACAAACCACATTGTTGAAATAATAATGTACGGTATTAGATGTGTTAAGTCAGTGTAAGCCTTATGGAAATGAAATGTAGCTCTGTGAGATTATACATTATAGATAACATTTGCAGGTCGAAAATAGGTGACTGCAAATATGCCTATGTAAATAAAAAAGATATGGAACCCCATTTGAATATGAATGAAATTGAATAAATCTGGAATTGAATGCATAAGGGAAAATTGTATATATTCCTTAAAACTATTCCTAGTACAGTGATTACAGAAAGCAGGAATGAGTAGATGTACAGTAACTATCACTAAGTATAATGCAATATCATAATAAAATCTACTTCTTTCACCCTATAGCTCATTGTTAGTGACATGCAGTGTAGTAAATATGATTTGCTGTTGCAGATGTAGTAGGGTGTCAGAACAGGGATATATGGGCATGTCCCTGGCCAAAATAAACCCCTGACTCCTTTCAACAAATATTTTGGGCAAGAAAGAAAAACAAAATGTGAGATGGAGGAATGAAAACATTGTGTATTGTATACATAAGGTGATGCCAATGCTTTAGGAAATAGTTTATTATTATTTCAAGGCGCAGAACGGAATGGATACCCATCTGCTACAGGGACAGGGGCACTTGGCTATCATGTATTACAATGGATTACAATGTGACACACAATTTATAAGGTGGAGCAGAGTGACATTTCCCCACCCCAGCTGCTTCCGATCCTATTAACAATACCTCCAAATACACCTGAGGTCCCTCGCTCCATCTTTTTCTGGTGTTTGCTGTATAACCAGCTCTGCAGCAGAGCAGAGACCTATTCTATTGAAAAGCTCAAACGCTGCCTCTCAGGAGGGGCGAGACTCTTAGAGGAGGTGTCAGCACCGTTTTAGAAGGTCTATATCTCTTACATTGGGCTTTAGTTACTGATTGATTAAACACTGGGGTTGAATAAAACATCCGAACAGGTTGAATACCACGGTACACATAAAGTAAACGTTTGCCGTAGAGGAAATGTGTAATAGTTTTACAACTATATAAAATACATATATTATTCAGTGTTTGTTCATGCTTGGTTAGAGAAATATGGTCATTCTCTCTGGCCAATAATATGAACTATAAGAGAGTTACACTATAACAACTAATGACAATATACACCCAGTGGTCAGTTTATTAGGTACACTAGTACTGGGTCGGAGCCACCTTTGCCTCCAGAACAGCCTGAATTCTTTGGGACATGGAAAAGTTGATCAATTGGTCTCAAGGGACCTAACGTGTTCCCCACACCATTACCCCACTGCCACCAGCCTGTACTGTTGACACCAGGCAGGATGGGGCCATGGACTCATCCTGCTTATGCCAGATCCTGACTCTGACATCAGCATGACACAACAGGAACTGGGATTCGTCAGACCAGGCAATGTTTTTCCACTCTTCAATTGCCCAGTGTTTGTGATCGCGTGCCCACTGGAGTTGCTTCTTCTTTGTTTTTAGCTGATAGGAGTGGAACCCGGTGCGGTTGTCTGCTGCAATAGTCAATACGTGACAAGGACCGACAAGTTGTGCTATCCCGAGATGCCGTTCTGCACACCACTGTCGTACTGTACCGATATTTGCCTGTTTGTGGACCGCCTGTTAGCTGGCACGAATCTTGCCATTCTCCTTCAACCTCTCATAAACGAGCTGTTTTAGCCCACAGGACTGCCCCTTCCTTACTGGATGTTTTTTGTTTGTCGCACCATTCTCGGTAAACTCTAGACACTGTTGTGCGTGAAAAGCCCAGGAGGACAGCCATTTTCTGAGCTACTGGAACCGGCGTACCTGGCACCAACGATAATATCACGCTCAAAGTCGCTTAGGTAACTTGTTTCGCTCATGTTAAATCGAACAGTAACTGAATTCTTCGATGCCTGTCTGCCTGCTTTATATAGCAAGCCACAGCCACGTGACTCACTGTATGTAGGAGCAAAATATTTTCGTAAACGGGGTACCTAATAAACTGGCCATTGAGTGTAAATTTGACACCATTGCCAATACTTGTGAAACGTGACCTTCAACTCCATGCGCTTTGACGAAGCAGAGGAACACATTAGCACGGTGGAAGATACTGTCAAAACAACGACTGAAAATTTGGAAAAGCTCGCTCGAGAACCCCCACAGGAGGTTAAATTTGAAACGGGTTAATCTACCCGAAAAAGTGGAAAATAGTGATGAGTCATTGGGGCCGGACATCTTTCCAGATCCCCTGCGCATTGAAAGAGCCCATCAGCTTCCAGCTCCTAAAGGCCCAAGTCCTTATCATGAAGTTTCTCAATTTTTAAGTCCGACTAATGCGGAAAACCAGGGCCAAAGGCAAAGTGATGTACGGGGACCAAGAGATCATATTCTTCTCTGACCTATCCGCGGACCTGCACCAAAAAAGAAAAGGCTACGATGGGGTTAAACGCCAGCTCAGATCCCTCCCTCAACATTGCTTATGGAATAGCTTTCCAAGCTAAACTACGTCTGACTTACAATGGACGGTCACACGAGTTTGAATCTCCCTCTCAATCCTAGGCATTCATCCGTGTCTTTTTTCTAGTCGTGTTGCCGCTGTGAAGTTTATCACCACCCTGGACTACGGCGAATTAAACTACCTTGGATTATGTGACTGTTTACAAGCTAGCTAACTTACATTAGCCAATTTGTTGGCAGCTAGCTAGCATAACATTTAAGTGAATAGCATGGCGAGCTAGCCCACTCAAAATGTCCTTATATTACTTGTAGCCTGTTTGTGCTCATTAGTTAGCCAAGTTTATTCCGTATGACAGGCGAGATAGCTGTCCATTAATCTTTGGACATCAAGTTTAAGTTTATTTTTGTTATGTTGATCATTCTCTTCCATTGGATGACGTGAGACTCTGTAAAATGCCGGTGAAGATGTTTAACTCCATGTCAACAGACTCGAAATGGCTAACGATACCTCACTTATTTAGCCAGTGAGCCACCCATAACACTGAGGGACCTTATCCGTTCATTCTGCATCACGAGAAGCATCGAGACTATTTTAAATAAAGCCTTAAAAGTCTTAATCATATCGTTGGACTAAAATGATTGACACTCACATGCATGCCGGACATTCATGTGGGTAAATGTAACACTCTGGCTCCAGGGACTCTGATTGTTGAGCCAGGGTTGTTATTTTCATTTAGGGTGTCTTTTGTTTGGTTGGGTTTTGGTTTTGTATTTCTAGGTTTGCCTTTCTGTTGGTTGTATTTCTAGGTTTGTCTATGACTCCCAATCGGAGGTAACGAGTGTCAGCTGTCGGCTCGTTATCTCTGATTGGGAGCCATATTTTTTCTGTATGTTTTCCTGTGGGGTTTGTGGGTTTTTGTTTCCTTGTTGCTGTCTGTATCAGTAGTGGAACTTCACGTATCGTATTTTGTTGTTTTCTTCGTGGTTGCACTTTAATTAAATAAAGTCATCATGTTTCTCGGAACACGCGCTGCGCGTTGGTCTCATCCTTTCGACGATCGTGACAGAAAAACCCACCATACCAAGACCAAGCAGCGTGTACAGGAGCAAAGAGACTGGACATGGGTGGAGGCGCCGGGTAAGGAGATCGAGAGGCTGGCGATGGCCCAGGTGGGCAAATCGTGGTCCTGGGAGGACATGCTCGGGGGCAAGGGACCTTGGGGGAAGATCAAGGCCCTGGCAAGAGAGGAGCATC